TTGCAAATGATGGATCTAAATAACTTCGAATCAAGTCATTTCGAACATGAGTTTAGAATGTTTTGAATTTAAATTGTTTTTATGTCAAATCGTTTTAAGTTTTGAGTTCATATCAAATTATCATTGGAATGAAATTAATAATTAAAATTTTCATTTTTAGTATTAAATTTGGATTATTGTATGAAACTTTTTTTAATTGTTTTTATTTCAAGTCATTTTGAGTTTAGAACAAATTATAATTAGAATGAACTAATAATTAAAATTTTCATTATTAATATTAAATTTGGATTATTACGATTTTAAGTTGAATATGTTTCACGTTTGGATTGTTTTATATTCCTATCATTTCAAATTTGAAATTTGTGTTTTAAAATTTTTGAATAATTTGGATATCATCCTGTTTAAGAGTTTTTTTCAAGGTGAAATTTCGGGTTTGAGTTCATTTTCATCACTTCTACACTCCATGAGTTTCGTTTTTGTCACAATCCTCTCAAAACATATCCTAGAAATGGCGAAAGGACTTTTATGTTAGTGTAAAGATGATCATTGCAAAATCATGAAAAGGAAAATAAGTGCCCCCATTAGTGAAAAATACATTTGAGAAGTGAAGGAGTTGATTATTCATTTCCTCCCTTTTCCTTGCACAAAGAGAAGTGAAAGATAGGAATAAGCAAATGGGTGGATTGGGCGGTTTGGTCCGCCATATCTAAGAACCAAATAATTTTAGAAAATCGATCAAATTCGACCAAACATAAAGGAAAATCAAACTGACCAAACATAGAATTAGTTTGATCGGTTCGGTTTTGGATTAATGGATTAAAATTTTATCATTTTTTTAAAAATTATAATATTAAATTTATAAACTTCATCTATAATTATAAAATATACAAATTATGTATAAATTAAATATAAGCATATATATATTATATTATTTTATTATATATATGAAATTAATGACACAACTTATATGTTATAATATTTTAATTTTTATATCAAAGTTTGTATAAGTAATAACTAATTATAAATAATATGTTATAAAAGTTAAGGTGATAGTTAATAAGGTTATTAAGTGTAATCATATAAATAAAGTTTATTATAAGTTATGATAATGTTTATTTATAAATTAAAGATATATATAATATTTATACAATTATATATATTCCTACCATTTTATATTACAAACAATTATCAAGGTGTAATAATTACAACATATTGATATGTAAGATATTTATTGTCATATATTATACTATTAACATATAAGTTATATCATTTAAAATATATAACTTATAATTTCATATTAATACAGTTTTATAAATAAATATATAACTAAACTTAAATTGCTATGATTGTGATTTGTCTACATACATATTATAAATTAATATATTTTAAGTATATTATTAATTAAGTTTACCATCAATTCTTCTTAATATACATAATATTATATATATTAATATATATAAAATATATAAACAAAAAATTAGTTTGGTTTTTTTGTGGATTAATCTAAAAATTTTAAAATCGAGAACCAATTAAAAAATGAATTGAACCAAACATGTTAGACCAATTGATCCAATGAATCAATTAAATCGAATCTTTTTATCCAAATCGTATTTGATTTGGGTAGGTAATTGATATGGTTTGGTTTTGTTCACCCCTAGAAAATATTGAGTACGGAATTTAGCAGCAAAAAGAAGACTGGAAAAGCAGCAAAAAAGAGAGATTACAGTATCTAAGAGCAGGAATGGACCATCAGGACCCAGAGGCGAACAAAATGTTACTACTACTATCAATGAATCAATGGGTACCATAGATTTTTTTGTTCCTTTTAAAATGAATCATCAATTTTCCCACATGCCAAGCAGTTTTTGAAAGCTGAGAAATAATTCAGCCTTTGAAGAACGGTATTGGCAATTGTTGAGTAAATGTGAGATATATAATAAATGAGATTGAGCTGTTCTTGGCCCTCCCAATGTAACAACCTGTTAATCAACATGCATCACCCACCACATCACCCATGTGCAGCCTCACTCTTTCCCTCTCCGCCTGCTTCAATCCAAGAGATTTGTTAGCATTGAATGATGAGAAGTGGGATTATCTGGCAAATAATAAATGGGTCAAATTTTCACGTTTCTGACACAGTTTCTCGCAAGTCCTAGTAGACGGCTCTACAGCAAGAATGTTAGGAGTGGAGAAATTTGGTCGGTTTTCCATTTCCAACATGATTTAGACATAAGAAGCTAATCGAGCGATTGACTTGCTTGCTCTCTGGAAATTAAAAGCTTTCTTTTTCCAAAAATTCAGCCAATCTCCAGGGATTTGCAGCAGACTTGAGGGTTCGTATACCTTGCATCCTGAAAATGTCACGTGTACTCATTTCATTTCCCTTCCGAAATGTATGTTGCAATATTTATTTCGGATTTGAATCATACCACTAGCAGAAATAATTTAGGTGATTAAATAAAATTTTGTTTAAATTACAAGATGGATTGAAATTCGGTTCAATCAAATCAAACCTCTCAAATATCATTATCATATTATTTTACTTGTAAATGGCCACCCTCCAAGTTTCCTTCGCAAAGATAAAATGATAAGGCATAATTCGCTATAAATGCCAGCGCTATCTCCTCGTTAACATGAGCCATTTCCTGTGAGCGGCGGCCCCTGTTTTTCATGGTGGATATCTTAATAGATGAAGACAAAATTGGTCGTTCTTTACAGAACACAAGGTGAGACGATTGCCCTAGACTTCTACTATAGCAGTTTATTATTTGTTGCCTTTTTCTTGTTTTCAACCGCTACCAACTAGAGTTTTGTTAACATCGTAACTATTTAAAAGGAGAAGGTATTGACAGGGGTTGAAGTGCATGCACCTTCTCTTGATAGTTATTGTGAAAACCTTGTTCGTTGTGCTTTAATTTTGACAGCAACCACCCAAAGCTCTAAGCTTGTACTAGTGTGGCAAGTTAAAATGAAAGTTTAACATTATAAACTTCTTAAATGGAAGTGACAGTTCTCTCGATGTGGCATAATCATTTCATGCAATCCTCAGCTATAGAGGTGGCCTGCAAATCCTAACCTCCAGAGCAAACGAGGTTGGAATCGAGGCTACGAGCATAACACCAACAAGAAACAGGGGAGGGATGAGGTTATATTCTGCAGCTTCTTACTTTCAAGAAGGGTTCATTATCTGCAAATTGTCTATTTTCGATAACAAAGTTTCTCAATAGATAAAGTTGCCTCTAGGAATATGCCTCGTCTTAAAGGGAAGACTGTTACAACCACTAATATCTCTCTCTTTACTTGTTTTACAAGACTCTTAACTAAGGAATACTTTTTAAAGTGTCACTTGTTAAGATTTTCATTTTTTTTAAATAAATTATTTGCCTCTAATGTCTGAAAAATCCTATATTCATATTCAATTACTGAATTAAATGGATCAGACACATACGATCAAGACAACACTTAATGCTTGAGAAAATATTTGTCTAAGATCATCAATTAACAAAGGGGCGAAGAGAGAGGAAGTTGGTTGCAAATGCAGTAAATAGGTAGCTGCATGTCCCAGAGGGACAATTTTAACAGCAGAGACAGAGAGAGCAAAACTACCATCTTTTTCCTTTCTAACCTAAGGAATCTTTGAATATTCCAGCTGATTTCAACCGCGGTACATAAAAGAAAACGAGCTGAAACACAGGGGGAAGCACAAAACCACGTGGTTTCATGGAAAGCTCCCTTGGTTCCACGGGCTAGAACCCGCTTGCACCTGGCGGTTTGAAAGGTCCCCACACAGCTCAAGCAGTGTCAGTTAGCTAGTTGGTGTGACGTTCCTTGAGACAACACTTCTACTTTCTCAGGCCAGTTCTATATATCCCCACCTCACCCCCTGCTCCTCGCTTCCTCATTCACAACTTCATTTCTTCGTGTCTAAGCAAGCTAGGGGGTCACCCATATTTAGCAAATAGAAGAAAGCGAAACTTCTCATAATTTTAACAGGGAAATGGCACTTTTTGGTCTAGTTTTAATGGTATTTCTTCCTTTGTTTTCACATGCTTATGGATATGGTGGGGGGTGGATTGATGCTCATGCCACATTTTATGGAGGGGGTGATGCCTCTGGTACAATGGGTATGTAACAAATGTTGATTTTCTGTATTATGTTTCTCGGTTGTCCGTAGCTTAGTTCATTTCTTTTTTCATGATTCTTGAATAAATGCATAACCAATTGTTTTGACCATTACTGAAGGTGGCGCTTGTGGGTATGGGAACCTATACAGCCAGGGGTATGGGACTAACACAGCAGCTTTGAGCACAGCACTGTTTAATAATGGCTTGAGCTGTGGGGCTTGTTTCGAGATTAAGTGCGTGCATGACCCTATGTGGTGCCTGCCTGGCTCTACTGTGGTCACTGCCACCAATTTCTGCCCACCAAACAGTGCCCTCCCAAACAATGCTGGGGGCTGGTGCAACCCTCCTCAGCATCATTTTGATCTCTCCCAGCCTGTTTTCCAACAAATTGCCCCATACAGAGCTGGGATTGTACCTGTAGCCTACAGAAGGTATGTATTAGGTCTTAAGGAAACTCTCTCTTATAAGTTACCTTAATTAATGCACTCCCTTAAAAAGGCCTAGACCGTTTTTTATTCTTGTAGTTTGTTTTTCATCTTCATTAATTGGGATTGGTAACAGTTGGGGTTGTGTGATTTTTATAGGGTACCATGCAGAAAGAGAGGAGGCATCAGATTCACAATCAACGGTCATTCTTACTTCAACCTAGTCCTAATCACCAACGTTGGAGGTGCTGGCGATGTTCACTCCGTTTCCATCAAAGGGTCAAAAATTGGTTGGCAACCAATGTCCAGGAACTGGGGTCAAAACTGGCAAAGCAACACTTACCTTAATGGACAAAGCCTCTCTTTTAAGGTCACCGCCAGTGACGGGCGCACTGTGGTCTCCAACAATGTTGTTCCTCCTAATTGGTCCTTCGGCCAGACCTTTAGCGGCTTACAATTCCCTTAAATCACCCTCACTCTCCAGTCCAAAGCCGTACCATTAGCAAATCTCAGATTCAGTAGATAGACCCATTATGGATTTCCTACATGAAGAATAAATGAGTGAGTCAGGGATAGCTGGTAGAAATCATTGTCCAACTTTGATAGTTGCCAAATCAAGCAGTTATATTTAGATTAGTTAGCGTCGGGCACAGAAGACTAGAGTTTGCGGTAGTAGAGTGGTCAAAAATGATGAGTGGGGTTTAATTTTAAGGTGGCCCTTCTCATTGAAGTTTGATTTATGGGGAGGGGAGGGGTTCTGTCTATTCTGTTCTGTTCTGCTCTCTTTTGACAAAGGCAGAGATAGAAATAGGCAATGTGTTGGTATATTTTAATAAGGTTATTTTATCTCAAAAGTTATATCATATAAAGTGACATAATATGACTATTAGATTGTACATAGATTTTTCATATAAATGGTTATAACTCTTGATAAAATAACATCTAAAGATTATTAGATAAATTAAAAAAAACCACTATAACTTAAAAGTTTAAATATGAAAAATTATCGTTTCAAACTCAAAGATTATGTTTTATAAAATGAATGATTGTCTTTTCATAAGGTGATTATTGAAACAATATCTTTATTCAATAGTTTTGTTTTACAAAATATAAACATGAATTTTAGAGAAAGTGGTGCCACAATGAAAAGGTTGTGTCCTTGAAAGAAGAGACACTTGCAAGCTTATATAAAAGCTTTGTTGCCAACCATTTTGACACAAAAAATAAAAAATAAGACAAGAGCAGAAAAGTTAAGAAGCAATAGAAGTGTTATGTTGTATAAATAAATATAAATACTTGAGTTTCTATCGTTAATCTAAGGAATCCAAATTCTTTATAATTTACTTGCTGTAGAAAATAAGCTCTAAGACCGAATAACTTTACAAACCCTTAGATGTATCTAGCAGTTTACTCTCGTAAAGTGTAAAGACGAAGTTAGACGTTGGTTGCATTGTATCCCTAAGGCTATTCGCATTACTCTCCTTTGCATACAAAATGGTGGGGGCGAAATAAGTCTTAAATATTGCGTTATTGAAAAACTCACATTGAAATCAATTTTGTCAGTTCTTTAAATTTCATCTAAATCCCATTTGCATCAACAATTTTAAAACTTATTTTCGTAGTATTGGAATTCAAAATGGTTTCACTTAAAAGAGATGGCTACTAGGATTATCAAGCTAAATCGCTTTAAAGGAGGGAGCTTTATTTGTTAGCAAAAGATGGACTGATTTGGTGGTGACAAGGAAAGTGACAAAATGGTTCCTTATTGCATTATAAGATGAGTTTTTTTTTTCCTCATTTGATATGCATGATATTATATTTGATATGCATGGAAAACATATATTGATTGGAAAGAAAGATTTTGTTATATTCATATATGATTTTGATATAGATAAAGTTATTATTGTGTCTTTTATAATTGGGATACTTCTCCCATCATGGGGAGACACTAAGAAAACTCTAAAGCATAAGAAATAAAAAATGTCACTTGAGGACCTTGGTAATTATCTTTGAACAAAAGAAAATTGTCGTAACCAAGATGAAGTCACAAATAAGATGAGAAGGATAAAAATCCTAAAGTAAACCATCTTGAGTTTATAAAGGTCCATGTGATAGAAGACACAAGGCATGGGCATGTGGCATTCTTATTATACATATAGTATAATGATGTCAATATATAAATGTCACTATGTTCTATGTCATAGGTGGGTATGTGGCATTTCTATTTTATATGAAGGTATAATGATGTGAACATATAAATACCATCATGGTACATGTGATAGGTGGGCATGTGGCATTCCTTTTATACATTAAGGTATAATGATGCCAATATGTAAATACTATTAAGTTCCATGTGATAGGTGGGCAAGTGGCATTCCTATTATATAGGAAGGTACAATGGTGCCAATATGTAAATTTATCATCTTAGTATGTGGTACATTTCTATTTTCTCTTCGAAGGTATAATGGTGCAATATAGATATATTCAATATCTTTGACATGGCATTTTTATTGTGAAAAAAAAAAATAAAGTACAATACTGCTTGTGTGAACATATACTTTGATGTGTTAATTTGATATTTTTGATTGTACGTTAAAGTACAATGGTGTCAATTGAAAAAGAAGGGAATATGTAAAAGCTTGTAAAGTCGTTGTATGGATTAGAACAAGCACTTAACAAATGGTATCGAAGTTTGATGAAGTTGTACTAGCTAATGCTATAAGATCAATCAATTTGACAAATGTGTCTATTGTAAGTTTCAAGTATCATCGTTTGTGTATATGTGGATGATATGTTAATCTTTGATATCAATTTTGGAACAAGTGGAAGACACAAAAAGGTTCTTATCAAAGAATTTTGACATGAAAGATATGAGTGTGGTGGATGTTATTTTTGGAATACAAATAATGAAAGATAATAATGGCCTAACATTGTCTCAATCTCATTACATTCAAAATATTAGAATAAAGTATGGTAAGTTAGATTATACGCTAATGTTTACGCCTTATAATTCTAATATAAAGCTAGTACCCAACAAAAAAAAAGCCAATAGCACAAAATGAACATGCAAGGATGATTAGATGCGTAATGTATGCAACGATGTGCACAAGACTGGATATTGCATTTGTGGTTGGGATGCTAAGTCAGTTTACAAATAATTTAAGTAAAGAACATTGGTATGTTGCTCATAAAGTTCTAAGATACTTAAAGAATTCAATGAATTATGGCATTTGTTATTTAAGTTTTTCTTTAGTTTTAGAAGGGTGTAAAGATACTAGTTAGAACTCAAACAGAATGGATCATACCTCTACAATTGATTGGATTTTTACAATTGGTGACTGTGTTGTTTCTTTGGGTTTTAAGAAACAATCTTGTCAAACAAACTCCACCATAACTGTTGAATTTATAACCTTAGCATCTACCATCCAATAAGCAAAATGGTTAAAGGATTTACTTTATGAAATTTTGTTGTGGCCTTAACCAGTTGCATCAATCTTGATATATTGTGATAATAAAGAAATGGTATCAAAGGCATATAATCAAGCATACAATGGAAAGAGTCTATATATTAGACTTTCACGTATATAGCATTGTAAGACAAAGAATTAGTTATGGTATAGTTACTATAAGTTATTTGAGGTCTTGTGAAAATTTAACAGATCTGTTTACCAAAAGCCTAAAAATGGACTTACTAATAAAGACCTTAAGAGGGATGGGTCTCAAGCCTATCAACTAAATCTCCAATAATAAGAGCTCACCTCGATGCTTGCAGTCGACTTGCAGGTCTTGGGTACTGACCATTCTACCACATGGTGATTGCAAACACTAATTTATATTGTCCATCTCGAGATGTATAGTGCTTGGTTCCTTTAACATGTAAGGTAAGGTTGAACAAAGTTTTTAATAGACCCATAACATGTATATGTTGAAATACTATAATTATAAGGTACTTTTGATGGGGGCTACTTATGTGAGTGGAAGTGAGGCCATTTCTAAGAGCTAAAGGCTTGACTTTTACAACACTCATGAATGGATGCAAAACACTAGGCCATAAAACGTGTTGGCCAAACTAGATACAAAGTGAGCAAAGAAGCTTGTGTGTATTTAGTGGCCCGACTAGTCAAATGAAGAATCTATGGTTTAATACTTGGTCAACCACTCAATTCATATTAGAACCAATCACACTCACTAAGTGAAAGGTTCAAATCTGTGGGATACCTTCATTTATGCACAAGTTTCCTAAAGTTATTGGTATTTAGAAATTTTGAAAATGATGAGAGATTGTCGATGTATTTTCAAAATAAAAAGTTATTTTATAAAATGAAAAGTTATCTTAGTTCAAAGGTTATTAACATAAAGTGACATAGTATGACTATTTGATTATAGGTAGATTTTTTATATGAATGGTTATGTCTCTTGATAAAATGACATCCAAAAGTCATGAGACAAATTAAAAAAAAAACACCATAGCTCAAAAGTTTAAATATGAAAAGTTTTCGTTTCAAACTCAAAGATTATGTTTTATGAAATGAATGGTTATCCTTTCATAAAGTGATTATTAAAACAATACCTTTATCCGCATGTTGTGTCTTGCAAAATGTGAAGATATCTTTTACAAAAAATGGTATCTTAATGAAAAGGTTGTGTCCTTAAAAAAGAAACACTTGCAAGTCTATATAAAGGCTTGTTGCCAACCATTTTGACACACAAAAATATAAGCAAGACAAGAGCAAAAAATTCAAGAAGCAATAGAAGTTTTATGTTCTACAAATAAACATAAACACTTGAGTTTTTATCATCAATCAAAGGAATCCAAATTTCTTATAATCTACTTGCTGCAGAAAGTGAGCTCTAAAGCCGAACAACTTTGCAAACTCTCAGATATGTTTAGTGGTCTACTCTCGTAAAGTGTAAAGATGAAGTTAGACGTTAGCTTTATTGTATCCCTAAAGCTATTCGTATTATTCCCCTTTGTATATTGAGTGGTGAGGACGAAATAAGTTTTAATGATAGCGTTAATTAAAAAATTCATCTTGAAATCAATTTTGTCAGTTCTTTGAATTTCATCTAAACCCCATTTGTACCAACACAATGGTAGACATTTATCACCCGTTGCTTTTTGGTTGGTTGCCGATTATTATATGGTTTCATTAATTAGCTCATTTGCTGCAAATTTGCTTTTATGTGGAGCAAACAGTAATCAGCCCTTGCATATGAGTGTTAAATTGTGAGGGTCTTGGGTGAATCAAATGTGTAGCGGTTTTGTATTGATTAATACAGACAGCTCTCTAATTAATAAAATCTCCCGACAAGGTTTCATCAGGAGCATTGTAATTGTGATTGTGAATGCTTAAATTTCCATTCAAAACATGAGATTGAAGTGGGATGAACATCCAAGACAATCATCAATTGGCATGCACCTTCTCTAAACTCAACCTCCCATGAGCTTTAGACCTTGAGTTTATGCAATCGTAACTTAAATGCAACAGCAAATTCAAACAGGTATTGAAGATAAAGAATTTCCAACAGGCTTAATGAGTGTCAACAGGAGCTAGAGAGGTTAGACTAATGAGTACTAGAAATGGTCTTCAATTGCAGACAAGAGGAGCTAAGCCAATTTAAAATCTGCAACTCAACTTGATCGATCCCAGAGGCCAACTCAAATTGCTTTGTGACTCATTATTCACCCGCAGTGCTTTAGAACAGGTTTTCTCTCCATCATCAATAAATACGCCAAATAAAGCCAACAATCACTTCGAAGTAGTGGTGAATTGAGGCTTCCTCTAATAATAAGTTATGGTGTTGGACGCTCTCA